AACCAAGAGAGAAGTCTAAGTCAAGTAAATAACAATGGGGATACAGAGAAGTAGACAGGTTGAAAGATATTAAGGAGGCATAATCCACAGGCACTGGTGATTAAATATAGGGAATAAAGAAAGGGAGAGGCCGGGGGGAGTGCGGTGTGACGGAGTGTGAACATGGCTACGCCTCGTCGTTCCCCTCCATGCCAAGCCCCCGACTGCAGCATTCAAAGCCCCCATGGAGGCTGAGCCGGGCACAGAAACACAGCAGCGAGAGCAGCAACACCAGTACTGCCAACAGATCTACACACAATGAGCTGGAAAAGAATCCACGAGCTCATCTGTGCCTGTGTTTAGAACGCTTAAAAGTTCTCATTCCACTAGGGCCAGACTGTACCAGGCATACAACACTTGGTTTGCTCAACAAACCCAAAGCACACATCAAGAAACTTGAAGAAGCTGAAAGGAAGAGCCAGCACCAGCTTGAGAATTTGGAACAAGAACAGAGATTTTTAAAGAGGCAGCTGGAACAGCTGCAGGGTCCTCAAGAGATGGAACGAATACAAATGGACAGCACTGGATCGACTATTTCTTCAGATCGTTCTGATTCAGAGCGAGAGGAGATTGAAGTGGACGTTGAAAGCACACAGTTCTCCCATGGAGAAGTGGACAATATAAGCACCACCAGCATCAGTGACATTGGTGACCACAGCAGCCTGCAGAGTATTGGGAGTGATGAGGGTTACTCCAGTGCCAGTGTCGAACTTTTGTTCACTTCCTAGAACCCGGCATGACGTAATAGTGCAGGGAAAAATATTCACTGGGCCAATTCAATACAAACAATCTCTTAAATTGGGTTCATGATGCAGTCTCCTCTTTAAAAACGCAACTGTACTTGAACAAAAGGGTCAAAAGACCTGTATTTAAGCAAATACTTTAGCAAAAGTGGAGCAGAGCCTCCCCAGCAGAACACATACTCATATTGGAAAAATCACAATTTCTAACAGCAACAGAAAACTTGTGTGAAATTTTCTTGATTTGCTTGAGTTGATTTAAAAGAGGACACTGAAGATACCAACCTCTCTTCTTTTCTAGTTTGCTCATACTACATTCAGTAGACACATTGAAGGATGGGATTATGAACCCTTCCTGAGCTTTATGGTCCTAAAAACAAAGTCAAACCTATACTAAAGAAAAGACAAGATAATCAGGCATTAATCATGGATAGCTAAAGAGCTATTAAAACTTAGCCTGAGACAGCTTATCATGAAGCCTGTGGATGATCAAT